CGGGGTCTGGCAGGGTGGGAGGGAAGTGCTCTGCCTCTCCTGGGCGGCGGAGGTGCTGCCCGCTTCGTCTGCTCACCTCCCTCGGTGCCCATCCCCCTTTCCTGAGGGCAAACCCCGTTCCTGACCTGCTTGGCATCCTCCTGCTCCTGTCACCACGCTGCCAGCTTGGATCCTGGACAGGTCCTTGGGATGGTCACAGAGTCACACCTTGCTCAGGAAGCAAGGCCGACAGCATGGATGGTGCTGGGAGTCACTACTGAGGCGAGCAGGAGCTCCTTTCTTCTTCCCCCTTTCTTGGCTGCCCTCCTCCCATGGAGCAGCAGGGATGCTGCCCTGCACAGGGGGCAGGGCTTGTCCCAAGGCTGTGGGCCCCCCCGGGATCCAACCCGCGCCTTGGCAAGGCCGGTGCTGAAGGCAGGTGCCTGGGATCGGCGGCAGCAGGAGATGAGAGGCTGCTGGGGAGCGCAGTGCTGAGCTTTGAAGGCACCCTGACAGGCTGTCGGGCCCCGCCAGCCGTGCTGACAGCCTAGTGCACAGACACCACCCCTCCCTCTCTCCCCCAGTGCCACCCTCTGATCACAGCCTCGGAGTCACTTCAAAGCACCCGTCAGGCTCAGGTGGGCTCCCACGCACCCTCCCGCCCCACTGCTCTATTCCTCTTGCCCCACGGCCCCATTTCTCCTTCCCCACAGGGCCCAGATCTGCTGGGATCCCCAGCTCCAGGGTGAGATATACAGGATACAGCGTTGGGGACCAAGGTACACGTGTGGTCCCAAAAAGTGCTGGTAGGAGGCAGTGGCCCCCCAGGCCTGGCACTGTTCTGACTCAGTGGGGCAGGACCCCAGCCTCAGAGCAGCTGTGACTGGGGTATCTGGGGTTTCAGGCAGGGATCCAAGGGAGGCTGCAGTGCCAGGGCAAGCGACAATGGGGACCAGCTGGGGTGCAGCATGCCCAGGCAGAGGGCTCACACAGCATGGCTGGGACAGGGGATCACCATCCAGACACAGGTGCCCACCATGCACTGGGCACTGGGTGCTGCCAGGTCACCCTGCCTGGAGTAATGGAATATCTCCCCTCCATCCCAGCCTGGCTCAGGGAGGAATTTTCCATTCCTGAATGGAGGTTGGGGGAAGGCGTGTGTTTGCAGCAGCCCCCTTCTCTCCCTCCCCTCGCCCGTCACCATCTCGGAAAGGCGCCTGCCACATTCGTCTCCAGAGAGGTGCAGAGCAAAAGCCTCCCAGAAGGAAGAGCTACCTGAAAGGGACCAGGGATCCCAGGCAGCCTTGGGGGCAGCCTGCACCCCATTTTCCGGAGAAGCAGCCCTGCCTGCAGCCATGCCGCTGTCCTTTGCCTGCTGCCAGGACAGGGAAGCTCTGGCAGAGGCTCGGGATGGTGACGCTGCCCAGCTCGCCGTCGGCATCCTGCGAGCCACCAAGATCCCAGGGCTGCACTACATGTGCACCCGGCCACAGTCCCGCCTGCGCTGCCTGCTCTGGATCCTGGCCTTCCTGGCCTCCCTGGGGCTACTGGCCACCAGTGCCACCGACCGCCTGCACCACCTACTCTCGCACCCCGTGCACACCCGGGCTCGCCTCGCCTGGGCCCCCCAGCTCCGCTTCCCGGCCATCACCCTCTGCAACCCCAACCGGGCACGCTTCCTGCACCTCACCAAACCCGACCTCTACTCGGTGGGGCAGTGGCTGGGGCTGGCCCAGGAGAACCATTCGCTGGTGCCTGAGATGCTGGCTGTGCTGGGGGAGGACCAGCGCGCCTGGCTGACCCGTCTCGCCAACTACTCGCGCTTCCTGCCGCCCCGCCGCTCTGAGCGCACCATGCAGAGCTTCTTCCACCGCCTGGGCCACCAGATCGAGGACATGCTGGTGGAGTGCCGCTTTCAGGGAGAGCGCTGTGGCCCCCAGCACTTCGCCTCTGTGAGTCCTCTCCTGTCAGGGGCAGGACAGCCCCATGTGCCGGGAGTGATGCTTCATCTCCCCCCAGCAAGGGCAGAGGGGTGGCAGCATGAGGGGAGAGCTTGACAAGCCTTCCCAAGGACCACGCAAGACTGGTCCCCCATTCTAGCACCTCCATGGGATCTAAACATGCTTGTGGAATGCCCTGACAGATCACTGCCTGCACCTTCACCCCCTGCCTTTCTCCATCCCCAGGTCTACACACGCTATGGTAAGTGCTACACCTTCAATGGGGACCGGAGGAACCCACGAGTGACTCGCCAGGGTGGCATGGGCAATGGGCTGGAGATCATGCTGGACATCCAGCAGGAAGAGTACCTGCCCATCTGGAGAGAGACCAGTAAGTAGGGCCATGGGGCAGACAGGGCATGGGCAAGGGGTGCTGGGAAGGAGGGCTGCTGGGCCCCAGAGCACCCCAGGGGAGCTATGGGGAAAGCAGGGCACTGGAGGGGTGCTGGGCCCCAGGGTGCAGGTGCTCATGGGTGAAGACATGTAGCCACTCTGTTCTTCTCCTCCAGATGAGACATCATTTGAAGCTGGCATCCGAGTCCAGATCCACAGTCAAGATGAGCCACCCTACATCCATCAGCTGGGCTTCGGGGTCTCTCCTGGCTTCCAGACCTTCGTGTCCTGCCAGGAGCAGAGGGTAAGACAGGATGACCCTGGGGAGGTTGCCCCTGGGGAGGTGCCCACGGGCACCCAGCCCAAAGCAGCCCTGCAGCCATGTCCCTCTCGCCCTGGCAGCTCACCTACCTGCCACAGCCATGGGGGAACTGTCGGGCCAGCATGCAGGGGGAGCAGATGCTGCCTGGCTATGACACCTACAGCATCGCTGCCTGTCGCCTGCAGTGTGAGAAGGAGGCCGTGGTGCAGAGCTGCCACTGCCGCATGGTCCACATGCCGGGTGAGGGGCACATGTGACAGTGTGGGAGAACCCTTCTGCCCTGGTGGTCCTGCCAGGGCTGTCCTGGCCCCCTACAGCCGACACTCAAAGATCACTCCCGCCCCAGCCCTCTGCACCCAAGTGTCCCTCCCACTCCAACCCTCTGCACTAAAGAGTCCCCCTGCCCTGTGCCTCTGCAGCCAGGGACCACCCCATCCTGTCTGCATGCTGGATGAGTCCCTGTCCTACTCTTCTTACAGCCCCTTCCCTATCTGCCTTGTACTCAGGGGCCCTCCCCCATCCAACCTGCACCCAAGGGCCACCCATCTCCATCCCCACCCCCACCCCACACTGCCTTTAAAAGAACGAGTTAAGGGTGGGGGGCAGAAGCAGACCAAACTCCCACCCCCCCCAACCAGCTGCTTCTCTGCAGGCAATGAGTCCATCTGCTCCCCCAACGTGTACATCGAGTGTGCTGACCACACGCTGGGTAGGTGCAGCAGTGGGTGGGCAGCTGGGGGCCAGCAGGGCGCCCCTGGGGAAGGGGCTGGATGGGTGCAGCCATGCTGATGGGTGCGTGCCCCCAGATGCAGCGGTGGAGGACAGTCAGGAGCGCTGCAGCTGCCCCACGCCGTGCAACCTGACACGCTACGGCAAGGAGATCTCCATGGTGCGCATCCCCAACAAGGGCTCGGCGCGCTACCTCGCCCGCAAGTACAATAAGAACGAGACCTACATTCGGTGAGCCATCAGTGCCAGGGTTTGCCAGAGAGGTGGGCAGGGGGCTGGGGACCTGCGGGAGCCTCACCCCTCTCCTGGCAGTGTGCAGGGGGCAGGTCCAGGCACGTGCGGTCCCTGCAGCACCTTCTGCCCATGGGTGACTGTTGCTAGAGCACCCCCTTGACTCATCTGTGTCCTCCGAGTCCTTCTGCTGACATCTTCCCAGCTCATGGTCCCTCCCAAACTGATACATGCCCCTCCCATGTCCCCACTGCACCAGCCTGAATAAGTCACCAGGGCCCTGGGAGCACCTGGGAGCACTTGGGAAGTGGGGGACAGGGTTGTGAGGTTTGGGGGGCAGTGGGGGCAGGAGGGTTGGTGACCAGCCTCCTTGTCAAGCACTATGGTGTCCCCACAGAGAGAACTTCCTGGTGCTGGACATCTTCTTTGAGGCGCTCAACTACGAAGCCATTGAGCAGAAGAAAGCCTACGACCTTGCCGGGCTTCTTGGTGACTCTCCCCAACTTTCCCTGGGACCAAAAGCGGGGTCTCAGCCCAGAAGGGTATAGGGCTGGTTGGGGAGGGACTGCATGGGGCCTGCATGGGGCAGGAGATGGCCACAGTGTGGCTAAGGAGTGGCATGCTGCTGGCTGTGCCATCCCTTGCCACCTCTGCCCCTGTGACCACGCTGTCCTCCTTGTCTAGCAGCCCTGGCACTGCTTACAGTCCTGCTGGCCCACCCTGGGCACCCAGCGGGCTGCACAGCAGCTCCCAGTGACCATCTCTCCTTCTTTCTCCTTAGGGGACATAGGGGGACAAATGGGCCTGTTCATCGGTGCCAGCATCCTCACCATCCTGGAGATCCTGGACTATGTCTACGAGGTGCACTGAGCCCTCAGGGCTGTGGCTCCATGGTGGGGGTGGGGCTATTGCTCACAGGGAAGGAGCAGAGTGGGGAACAGGCTCCCCAAGGAAGGGGTGCTGTGTGTGGCCACCCCAGAGGCTTACTTGCAGCCCCTATTTTGGGGAACTCCCAGTAGGAGACAATGGGAAGAAGATGGGTTCCCCTGCACCCCTCAGTGGCCGGGGGACTGGGGAGGGCTGGCGGTGGGCAGAGGTCCTGTCCCCACTGTCCCCCAGGCAAGCAGGGGAGTGGGAGACAGGTCTGTGCAGACCAGGGTGTGCACACATGGGGTTCTGCCTGCATGTGGATTCAGAGCTGACCTCCCATCTGCCCCCAGGTGATCCGGGACAGGGTGAGCAGGGTCCTGCGTCGCTCCAAACCGCCCCTGAAGAAGCCCTCGGGCAGCATTGCCACGCTGGGACTGGAGGAGCTCAAGGACCAGGTACTCCCATGGGGGAGGGATGCCCGGGGGGCTGAAAGGACAGGGTCTGGGCAGCATCCATCCCCCACCCAAGGAGGAAGAGACACCATCCCAAGAGCGGGGGACAGCACAGATCCACATTTGGTAGCCTCAGGTTGCAGAGCTGGGACAGCCCCAGGGTGGCAGGGAGCTGGGTGCCCCAGAGGGGCTGCTGGGAACAGGCTGTGCTAGGGGTGGGAGAGGGGCAGCAGGGTGCATGGGGTCTGCACCCATTCCACTGACTGCCATCCCACAGAGCCCCTGCGAGACGCTGGGCCGGCATGTGGAGGGTGCCTATAACACAGGCATCCTGCCCAACCACCACCACCGCCACCACTACTCTCACCAGCCTGTCTTCGAGGACTTTGCCTGCTAGAACAGCAGGGCCTGGGGGGGGCAGCCCCCCTGCCACCCCCCTCTCCCACCATCTGCACGGAGAGGGACCTTGGCAGGGGTGGGCCCCCACCTCCCCGAGCCCACCGCCGGGACCAACCGTGCCGTTTGCCCCCGGTGATGCCGCTGGAGCTGGCTTGGCA